GGTTTTCTCAACATTAAGTGTGAGTTTGTTAGCTTTAAACCTATTTACTTTATTCAATTCTATGTTCATATCTGTATGAAGATGTTTAATATGATTATTGGTAAGAAATAAATTAGTATCGTCTGCAAAAATTATTGAGTTCAGTTTTAATGATGCATTACAAAAGTCGTTAATATATATTAAGAATAAGAGCGGACCAAGGATTGATCCTTGTGGAACTTCGCAAACGACATTTAATATTCCGGGTTGCACATTATGAACATATTTCTTTCTATCAGTAAGAAAACTTTTAATCCAGAAATAGGTTGTATTAATTATACCATACTGCTTAATTTTTGGTAAGAGAATGCAATGGTCGACTGTGTCGAATGCTTTAGACAGATCTATAAATACTCCTAAAGTAAATTTGTTATTGTCAAATCGATCAGTTATTTGGTTGACTATTTCAACAATTGCATGCTCAGTCGAGTGATTTTTTTGAAATCCAAATTGTTTTGGGTAGAATAAGTTATTTTTAGTGATATATTCAAATATTCTATTATAAATTACGCGTTCAAACAATTTTGAGAATACAGAAAGTAAAGATATAGGTCTATAATTTGTAATGTTTGAATGATCGTTACCTTTGTAAATTGGGATTACTTTAGCTATTTTAAGAGCATCAGGGAAAACACCAAACTTCAATGAGAGTTTTAGTATATGAAATAAAGCTTTGTTTAAGCTAGTTTTGTTAAAAATAGCTAGGTATTTTATCATATCCTGGTTGCTAGGTATTTCATCATACCCTGGGGATTTTTTTTTTTAAAGAAGAGTATGCTGTTTCAAATTCTTTATAGCTTAATTCATTGTCATACAACATTTTGTCATTAGAGGGTTTTAGGTAGGTTTTAAATGATTCTAATGTTGGTGTTATCTTATTGGCAAGATTTGGGCCAACACTTGTAAAATACTTGTTGAACTCTTTTGAAATTAAGTTTTCATTGTATATATCAGTGCTATCAATATTAATTCTTTTAGGTGTAAAGATGCAATGTTTTTTTCTTTACCGATTATATTATTAATTATGGACCATGTTTTTTTACTATTAAATTTGTTTTTGGAAATTAGCGTACTGTAATAGCTTTTTTTTGCATTTTTAATTTGTGCTTGGTAAAAGTTTTTATATTTTTTGTAATTTTTTTCGTTTTCAGTGTTTCTATTTTTTAGGAATTTATTATACAATTTTTGCTTTTTTTTAGAACATTTTTACAGCGATTTATTCATCCACGGATTAGCTAATGTTTTCGCCTTAATTTTTATATTCTCGTATGGGCAGGTTTCATTGAAGTGCTTCAATAATGTACTTAAAACATTGTTAAAAGCCTCGTTAGTATCTTGACATTTATATACACTTTCCCACGTTTTTTTGTTTTAATTTACATGTTAATTCATTAGTATTGCTAATTTTTAGGATACGTTTTTTCAAATTGATTACATTTGGTTGACTATCGGACACAGTTTTTAAATGGTTTACTTTTAAGAAAATAGGAAAGTGGTCACTGATATCTGTCTGGAATAATCCGGATTCAAGTTTTGTTTCTAGGTAGTTATTAATGAAAATATTGTCAATTGCAGTAGCTGAGTTTTTTTGTAACACGTGTCGGTTTATTAATAATTGATAAGACATTGAATTTAAAGAGCATATCAAAGAATGATTTTGTTTTAGGAAATTTAAGTCAGAGCATCTAGGTTCATGTCTCCAATAATAAACAGGCTTTTATTTTCTTTATTAATCTTTATAATAGTTTTTTTAATAAAATTTTCGAATGGTTTAATTTTACCATTTGGTGGACGATAAATACATCCTAATAATATATTTTTACATTTATTGTTAATAATTTCGATGAAAAGACTTTCATAGTTGGTATTTGAGAGACTATGTAAAGTTTTTATTTTATAAGTAAATTTATCGGAGACATAGACCCCTAATCCTCCACCTTTTTTTACCGCTGGCTCTTGGTTGACTAATTAAATTATAAGATGGCAGTTTATAGTTAGTGTTCAACTCAATATAACTTTCTGTATCGTGCCAAGTCTCTGTAAGAGCTATGACATCAAACGCATAATTTACAATCCTTAAAAATTCTTTCAATTTTTCAATATTTTGCTGCATGCTTCTAATGTTTAAGTGCAATACAGAAAATGAACTATGATCTTTTGTTACTTTGAAGTCAAAAGGATTAAAATATGGTGTGTCAATTAAGTTCATTTGAATTTCTGGAAAAATATTCAAGTTATTATTTGATAGGTTATCATTAATACCCTCCAGAAAAGGGTCAAAGTTTAAATTTTCAAAACCTTTGTTGATTAAAGTGCTCGTTCCCATTTTTGAAAATAAACAAATAAGATTAAAAAAAAAAAAAAAAAAATTTCGATATATTGACTCTAAATACAAATATAAATCAATCTGATCGAGCGCCGTCGGAATTCTTATCTTTAAACTCATGAACAACGAGCTTGTTATATACCACTTTTGCAAAGTATCCGTTTTGCCTACGAATTTTTGCTTTAGCAAAAAGTTCTTTAAGAATTTTTCTTGTGGTTTCGCTGTAATCCTCGTTAATATATATATATTGCTACCTTTAAGATAAAAAGCTTTATCCAAGATAATTTTTTTGCCCTCAAAGTCATGTAGTTTGAGTACGATTGTTCGCGCACGCTCGTTATTAGCAAACACAACTCTATGCGCACGTTCAATTTTAATATCCTGTTTAATCCCGAGTTTGTCATTAAAAAGTTTTTTAACTTTTTCTTTCGTAGATTCACACTCTTTTTCATCAATAGTTTCTTTAAGACCGTCAATTCGTAAATTGCACCTTCGATTCCTATCCTCTATGTCAACACTTTTTATCTTTAACTCACTATTATCTGAAAAAATTTTCCCTTGTATTTTTTTAATATTAAACAACTCATCACTTGCTTGTTTAACTTTTTCTTCGTGCATCTTTATTTTTTCTTCACACAGGTCACCAACAAAATTCATACCAGTTTTTATTTCACGAAGTTCATGACTTAAGCCGTTAATATTTTGTTGCAGAGCTTCAACTTTTAGAATAAAGTCTTTAACTGTTTCTTTGAAAAACGACATTATGGTTTCTTTTTGAACATTAAGAAGTTCCCTCATCATTACAATGGAGACATATTCAACTGATTTACTCATTTTAATTAATTTAATATTATAATATATAATCAATAAGATAAAATTGAAGGTTTACAACTTCTTTAAATTTATCCACACAATAAAACACGACCGATCGCTTCAGAGTTTTGAGCATGAATGTTCTTTATATATATATATATATATATATATATATATATATATATATATATATATATATATATATATATATATATATATATATATATATATATATATATATATATATATATATATATATATATATATATATATATATATATATATATATATATATATATATATATATATATATATATATATATATATACATACATATATATATATATATATATATATATATATATATATATATATATATATATATATATATATATATATATATATATATATATATATATATATATATATTATATATATATATATATTAAGTTGATTAAGGAAGTTCACGCCTCCTTCCCAACCGATGTCGCAAAACTTGCCCATAGGTGGGGTTTGAACCATGGATCTTACGTTTCTGAGGCAAGTGCGCTTCCACTGCGCCACGGCTGCTATAATAAACGTGGCTGCGTTAATAACGGCTGCTATAATTAACGGCTGCTATAATAAACGTGGCTGCTATAATAAACACGGCTGCTATAATAAACGTGGTCTATTTTTAAATTAATAGCTTAGTTTCTTTGTAATATGCACTCAAGCTTAGAATATTTTCTGTAAAGTGAATTATTTTTATACAGGTATATACTTTTTTAAAATATTTAATTAAATTAAAATATTGCATTGTTGTTATTTAAATATAAATAATAAACGCGTAGAAGTATTTCTTCTTCCATTACTTTTTTCAAGACTTTAAATTTACTTTTAAAAAATCACCGTATTTCTCCAAAAATATTTCTACAGGATTGAATTTTGTTAACATTCTAAAATATATTCCTATTTTTAAAACTTGCCCCTAGTTACCCCAATTAAAAATATATCTGGTTGTTTGCAGTGATGTACGGTTTCAAATACGAGGATTTATTTAATGTATGGCCGTAAAATGAGAAAAACTCAGATGTTTTTGAGCACGTCATTAAAGTCATTGGAAATAATATAAAAGTAGTTCAAGCAATAATATACAAAAGAAAATTTGTCGTTTGTGCAGTTCTTTTGAACGAAAATGATTAGATATTCAAAGAACTATGGGCCAATTTAAAAGGAAAAATTCATATTAATTAAAAAAAGAATTTAGATTTACTGATGAGGCAACTCCATCAATATCTTTTAGTCACTCAACTCTATCAAGATCTTTTGGACAACCAAGTTCATAATATAACAAAAAAACAGATTGGGCCAAAAGTATGGAAGCATCAGAGTTATGTCTGAATAGCTCGCACGAAGCATCACCTATATTGCAAGCAGCAGGTTTGGCGTGTCAGCAAAATACATGTGATTTAGTATTGGTTCTAAAAGAATCAAACAAAAGTCTATCTATCAAAGGTCAACAAAAATTAAAAAAAACTATATTTTCACTAAAAAAAAGAAACAGTACGTTATACAGCAGAAGAAGCATTATAATTAATTTTGGGTTCTAATTTAACAACAATATCAAAACATTAGACAAAGAGCTGTTATTTAAATTATAATTTGTATCCTGATTACAAAAAGATTTGGAAATGTAAATTTACATGAAGAACAAATGGTATATCTGAAATGGTTTGAACTCAGAACATAATAAGATCTTATTGAGCAATTAAACTTCTCAATCTGCGCGGTTTTAAGAAAAAACACTATATTGACAGACAGGTAGATAAAAAACACGATATTGACGGACAGATATTGTAAAAATTGATTTATTATTATCTTTAGCAAGACTCCAATCCTCTATAAATTGGCTAATAGCGTCTATTGTACTATGGCCTGAAAGGTAACTGAACTGTTTGTTTGAGACCTAGATATGCTTGGTGATGATGGACAATTAATTCGGTGAAAATTCTTTCAAAAACTTTGCATAATTGACGTAATAGCAACTGGACGATAGTCATTAGAAGATAGCGGGTTTCAGATTTTAAGAATTAGTGTTATGTTCGCTGATTTCCATTGATCAGGGAAGTAACTGTTTTCTATGAGACGGTTAAATAGGATATAGAGTGATGGGGAAATTTCTAAGCGAGCAGATTTGAGTAAGATTGGGGAAAGATTGTCATGTCTTGATGATCCTTTCTTTAGTTTGTTAAGTTGGCTGAGAATTTTATTAATGGTAAAAATTGGGGTAATAGGTAGATCTGCTTGACGGTTGATGAAGAACGAGTAATTAGGTTGTATCTTATCACTCGAAATATTTTAAAAATGATTATTCAATTAGTTTGATAATGTCTCGATTATTGAATTGGTTTGATAATGTCTCGATTATTCAATTGGTTTGCTAATGTCTCAGTGATGGAATCAAATTTGTCCTTTATCGGCAAGCCCGACTTCTCGCCAAAAAATTTTTTTACTGGAGGAGAAACGGCGGTTACAAATACGATTTCTTTTAGTGATTAGTTTGATGACTCGATTTGCAAATATCTTCTACTATGAGTGGTGACCAGAAGAATAAAGTTTCTGATGTTCTTATATAAGGTTCTGAATAAACGGCGTCATCCAGGGTTTGAGGTTGACAAGCGTTGTAGTTCTCAATGGTTGGCAGGAGGGCTATATGTGATTGTGGGGCACGTTGTCAGAGTCCTTCATATTTTATAGACCTGGGTGTCCTATAAAACATAAAAAATTGTCCTAATAAATTTTAATCTAATCTAATCAAGGATTGTGTATTACTTATATAAGCACAGGACATATTTTAGTCGACTAAAACCTTATCAATATGTTTTAATCATATTTTTTTACACACATAAAACCGGTTTTAAAGAGAAAAATACAAAAAATATCTAAATTCATTTGTTAAGAAATTACCTATTTTTGTTTTTTTCGTGTTTTGCTGAATATTCTATTTTTAATTCAAATAAATTTTTGATTTTTTAATCTTTAGAATTTGAGAATAAAATAATTTTGAAAAATAAACTCAAAAAATAATAAGCAGGATTTAAAAAAAAATCAAATACCGCTGTGCACTGTTTATAAAACAAAGTTAAAGATTATGCTCATTTGATATTTTTTCAAGTTGAAATATGTTTTTTATATGTTTTACGTTCTATATGTTTTACGTTTTAAAAGTGAATGAATAACAATATTTTATTATAAACATTAGCAACTAGCTTATTTCTGATACAGCGGAAACAATAATATATATAT